TGACCCTAGAAGTCATTTATAAGTCTTGCAGATAGCACAAGTTCTTTTCTGACATCATGACTCAGAAAAGTAAGTTCAACAAAGCCTGCCAAAAACCATTTCTTGAAATTAAATGTAAAAAACTCTGTTCAGGTAACTGTAAGAAGAAAAGGCGAGAAAAGCCACTTGTCCACAAGAAAAGGATGAATTTTAAATTTTTCAAAAAGAAGAAGTTTAGAGGAAAATCACAAGACCAGAGATGCTTTATCTACAAAAGAAAGGACATTTCTCTAGGAACTGTCCCCACAAAGCCGAAAGAGTCATAAAGTTCATCTCCACTGTCAAGCTTGATGATATAGAGTCTCTCTATTCAGAATAGAGCTCTGCAGATGAAGAAACCATCTTTGCCCTCACTATCTCCTTTGGCGAGACAAAATTTGACTATTCCTATGCAGAATCAGAAATAGATATTGTTTCAGTATTCTCTTTCCAAGAGATCAACCCTGTCAACGTCTTTCCTCCTTAACCATGCTTAGAAGTCCAACTTCTTCCTTCAAAGTATAAAAAAGTTATTAAATTCATAGCTTATCTTGGCATAGGAGCCCAAAAGTCTATGATGAATCCAGACATACTTCCCAAATAATATTGGAAGAAAGAAGCCTCCTACTTTGTTGCAGCGGATGGAAAAATGTTCAAAGCTGATCTAATCACCAAAGCTCCAATAGGAATTAAATTTTTCCCATAATACACAATATGATCTAAAGTGATTAGGAGCAAGTTTTCCAATAAGGATATACTAGTAGGTATGGACATTTATTCCATGAATAATAAGCTTCAAATCCATCCTACAAGAATCAAATTCAAGAGGGAATTCAAATATTTCACGGACATATCTAGACTATTCTCCCTCTCTAAAGCCTCTCTAGACTTGGAAGAAATAAAAGGCAAATTAGCTACCTTTTGCACTAACAATCATGAAGACTTTTCTCATCCAAAGCCTTTATGGAAGAATTATGAGTTCTTCGTATAATTACCCTTCTTCGTACAGTTATCCTTCAAGCTCAATGAAAATGTCAACCATACAAAGGTTACACGACCAGGAATGTCTCCATTAGACCTACAGTTAGCGAGACAAAAATGTCAGGAACTGTTGAAATAAGGCCTATTCAAACTAACCTAATCCAATTAGGTCTGTCAAGCCTTTTACGTGAAAAGAGGTCCGAAAAAATTAGAGAAAAATAAAGGTTAGTAATTGATTATAAGCCTCTTAATTTTTTTTAAGGATCACAAATATCCAATTCCAAAAGTATTATCCTTACCCACTCTGATAAAAGAAGCCTATGTCTTTTCTAAATTTGACCTCAAATCCGGGTTCTAATAATTAGGCATTGACCCCATTCTGATAAAAGAAATCTATGTCTTTTCTAAATTTGACCTCAAATCCGAATTCTGGCAATTAGGCATTGACCTATCTGACAGATACAAAACTGCTTTCTTTATACCCAATACCCAATACAAATGGAAAGTAATGTCTTTTAGGCTTAAGACAACTCCATCACTATTCCAAAAAGCCATGACAAAAATCTTTGAGCCTATACTAGACAGAGCGATCATTTACATTGATGACATCTTATTATTCTCTCAAGACATGGACTCTCATAAACAATTATTGGATCAATTATTTGGAATATATCATCAATACGGGATTATGCTCTCAAAGAAGAAGATCCACTTAGCCAAAAGAAAATTGACTTTTTTGGTATGCATTTCTATCAAAACTTATATTAACCTGAACCTCACATTGTTGAAGAACTTCTTAACTTCCCGAATGAAAATCTGACTGTCAAGCAAATCCAACAATTTCTTGGGATAGTTAATTATGTTAGGGAATTCATCTCCAACGTTGCCAGATACACCTTATCCAAGTTACTAAGGAAGAGTCCACCTCTGTGGGGAACAGAGCAAACTAAAGCAATTAAAGAATTGAAAAAGATAGCTTAGACCCCTCCAGCGCTAAATATTTTAGGCAACGGAAAAAAGATATTGCAGATAGATGCTAGTAATGACTATTGGGGAGCAGTTCTCATCAAAGAAGACAATGAGAACAGTTCAAGGATTCCAAGAAGCATTAGCACACTACCTTCAGAGAAGCCTTAGCTGTAAAAAATGAAATAAAAAAGTTTGATTTTCATCTCAGAGGACATCATTTTGACGTACAAATGGACAACTCGTTCCTAAGGAACCTATAATTCAAAAATAGAATGCCTTATAATACTCAAATACTTCGACTAATGGATTAGTTTTCAAGGTATGATTTTTTTTTGTTAAACACATCAAAGGAAACCAAAACACAGTCCCTGATTTTCTATCCAGACCAAAGAAAATTGTCCAATTGATCTCTGACACCTACAATTTTCCTCCCATCTTTATGGTCAAATCTCTATCCAACAAAGCAAGAACTATAAAGGTCTATCCTCCCGGATTGAACCCAACCACACCAGCAGATATCCTCTAATATGCGAAATCTTGCTACTTTTTACTTTCTCCGTAAAACCATGAAATATAAAACCATCTCAGCCTCCATGTTTAACCCTTATATTCCCTTTGGAGGAATTTTTGAATTATTTTGTGACCCAAGTTGGGACCTTTGTGAACCAACACTTTGGACTTTATGGTGTAACATTGTTCAATATTCTATCCCTATTGCATTGAAGACAAAACAAGCCTATAAGATTTTGACAGACCCTTACAAAGAGAAATTTCACCGTTATCTTGATGGAGACAAGAACTCAAATGGATTTTGGACTTCTAGTAACAACGAGGAATGAATGAAGACTCTCTTAAAGATCCTACTTCAATCTTCATCATTCACTGTCCATACTTTCTAAATCTTACATGTCAATTATGGTCAAGAAATGAAGTCTACATCTAGGGTAGCTTTGAGACTTATCCTCTTGATGAAAGTGACAAAACCCAACTGGTTCGACACCTCTGTGAGGTCAACAATTACCATTACAAGCTAGTAGGGCCCAATATTGCTAACTCATCCCAAAGGTCACTTAGTTCTTATTCTCTGAATAGGATCGTCCCACGACGATGAATCACAACAAATAATATTCTTCAAATTAACGATTGAAATCTATGTGCTCGAAGAAGAATTCCAAAAGGTTTAAGACTTAGTAGATGATTATAACGAATAGTTAATGGAAGAAATAATGATGCACAAGGAAATGTATCCCTACTGGGACCCACTACATGGAAGCATGATAAGAAGTGAGACCCAGCAGATAAATCATTCTGGCTCCACCAGATCTGACTCAAAGTAAAAGTTTTAGTTAATGACTGTCATCATGACATGTTACTAAAGCAAGATTCTCTTATATTTACACGTGTTCACTGCGAGTTCCACAAATGTGTTAATGAAGATAAGACCAAATCAACTTTACTTTATCTAAAAAGATATGATATCTTATCATATATTATCTTGTCTATAAGATATCGCATCTTATCTTGTCTATAAGATATCTCATTGTATCTTATCTTGTCTAAAAGGCCATAATTAGTGTGGGTCACAATCTTATCTTCAGATTCCACTTTGTATGATATTTGGGGTCCGAAGTTTATTTTAGAAAAGATTAATTTTCAATTTCACTTGTGTGGTTTGCCTTTAAATAGGACGACTTGTATGTTGTAACTCATAACCAACAAGAATTAATCGAATACAAGTTTTCTTTCTTAAAACGTTTTCTCTTCTCTGAAAGTCTGAAATACATAGTTCTTATTATCATTCTCTACTTAGATGAAAATATGTTCTACAGTTACCTTTTATCAACAAAATATGTAAAAGTATCTACCTGTAAGTTTGATACTAATGGATTAGAGAAGAAATAAAGAGAAAATGATTAGAGTTCGGATTGGATGAGAATTTGAGGTGATTTAGAGTGGATTGTAGGGTTGTTTGGATTGAAATAAAGATAGTAGATTTAAAGGAATTTGAATGAATTTATTGTAATTTATATGATTGATGGAATTAAATATAAAAAATTGAATAATAATTTTTTTAGTATAATGACCAACATTGTTAGAATGAATAAATTAAGTAAAAATGATAATTATAATATAATTGAATATTAAGAATATTAATATATTAATAAAATAATTTATTAAATTACTAAAATATTCTTAATTAAAATTTAATAAAAATAATTTATCTTATAAAAAAATAATTAATTTTAAATAATTATTTTAAATTTTTAAAATTATATATAAAAAAAATTAAATTATTAATTAAAAATCATATATAAAAATTGTTTTTAAGTACAAACTAAAAAAATTAAAATATTAAAAATTTATAATAACAAATAAAATCAATAACATTATTAAAAAAAACAAATTTTAATTTAAATATATTTTTAATTTTATTATAATAAAAAATTATAAAATCACATATAACTATAATATTATATATTATTAATATAAATTCATATATATAATAAATATATATTTTTTTACATTTGTATAATCAATTATTTATATTATATAATTAGTTATATAAGTTTACTTGTACATTTATCTAAATGTATGAGGATAATTTAGTTATATACGCTTTTTTTTTCTCTGCATTTCATCTTATTATAAACATTCTTTCTTTTCCACTCTCATTTACCTGTAAGTAAACCATCTCATCCTCTCAAATCCACTCCCCCATTTAATAGTACATCACCCACTCTAAACACAAGCTTAAAGTTAATCTCTCTATTTTTTTTCGTTATTTTTTTTTTTTTTACAGAAAATCCTTATCTCTATGTTTTTCTTCCATATGGTAAAGGTGTCACATGTGAACGCGTATTTCATTTTCACCTCCGCCACAAAAAGAAAGAAAAAGAATAGAAAATTAATTAAATCATAAGTAACGTGGTAACCCTAAACCGAAGCAAGGTACGTATATGGTTCTCTCACCATTGACATGATAGTCATATATGGTGTTTGGACAAGTTGAACCATGGAGACGACTCACGATCATGGAGTTGGGCCACATCGTTTTCGCCGTAATAGGCTTCTCCACCTCCTTCTTATTTTGCGTGCCCAACATCAAGAGATGGCAGCGGAAACAACTCGCCACAGAAAAACTAAAAATCGTTAGCGAGGCGTTGGAAGCGGCGGAGGAAAGAGCAGTGAGATTCCAAGAACGACACGACAGAATTTTAAGCCAAATATGCGCCACTTACTTGACGAATGCAGAGCTTCTTGAAGCAATAACGGGTGCTCGAGCCACCATGAACCAGGCGTTGGACTTTGCTCTTGAATTGAGGAAAATTCAGTTTCGAATCATCACTTCTTTCCCCGATACGATCGACGTTCTCTTGGATTTGGATGCCTCAAAACACACGCGAACAAATGCATTCAGCTAGGGTTTACGTTCCTCAAAAGGTGCTTCATTCCATTCCTCTTTATTTCCTTCCTCCAAATGTCACGTGTATACTACTTACTACCTTTACCTTCTTCATATTTCTTAAAACAGTTACAAAACAGATTAATTTATTGAGTATAATATTTTAGCTATCACTCCATTACATAATTTTTTGAGTTTATTACAAGATTATCATACTAACTAAAGGTTGACATAAAAAATATATCATGAAATAACGTATTGACCTACTTTAACCATCTAGGTAGTGTGAGAAAATTATTTATTTATTTATTATTAGTCTCTTTCATTAACTATAAAAACATTTAAAAGAATAGATTAGGCCAAATCCATTCATTAACATGATCAATGATCTATTTATATTTTTCAAAATCTAAAAGATTCTCCGTGTATCAAAATTGCTTCAACCTTTTTTCTCATGTTCTTAATTTTACTTTTTAGAAAAAAAAGTACATTTCTAAAATTTGTTATACAAAATATATTTTTAATTTTTTTTAATATTTTTTTTAAAATAAATAGTTATTTTTTAAAAATATTCGTGTCCTAAATAATTTTCTTTTTTCAAAATATAAGAAACATACATTCACTGTTAAATGTATTTATTGATAATTTCTTTGTTAAATGTATTTATTGGTAATTTCTTTTACCATTAATATATTAATGTAATGTAAATTATATTAATGAGACTTTCTTTTACTATCAATGACATTTTCCTTTTCTTTTGATATTATCTTTATTTATTTCTTATTCTTTTTTTTGTCCATTTAGTGTTTTTTTTTCTTCCTCCCTTGTTTTTTACTCATTTTATCTTATTCTTTAATTAAAAATATAGTTTGAAATTTTATACGATGAGTATTTTATTATTATTAAAAAATAAAAATATTTAAATGATTAATATAATTATTATATTTTAAAATATTATATGATAAATTTGAAATATTGCACTTATTATTGATATGTTATAATTATTAAAAAAATTAAATATTTATTTTAAATTAAATTTTTTAACAAATATTTTTTTAAATTATCTAATATAACGGATTATTATAATTTAATTTAATTATAACTAAATTAAATTATTAAATAATAAAATATTTAACTTAAAATATTTGATATTTTTCAATTAGAGGAATAATTATTTTAAAAAAAAATCGAAGGAAAAACTGAATATAAAGAGTAAACATGTTTACCTGAATAAATAAATTAATAAAGATTTCATTTGAATATTTTTTTAAATATATTATTTATAGGAATAATAAAATGTTTGATTCTTAATTTTTAATTGAAAATATGATTCAAACATTTTAACAAAATGGATTAGAAAAATCTCATAAAATTTTGATTTGATCCGATTTTCAATTTTCTATTGAATTAGTTTTAAATACCGTTAATATAAAGAATAAAAAAATTATATCAAACGAATTTATTTTTTATTGAATTTTATATAAAAAACCATAAATAATTATAATTAGATAAATAAATTTAGAAAAAAAAATTAAATAATTTTTTTTAAATATATTATTTTTAGGATTATTCACAAAATCACTTGTTACATTTAAGTAATATTTATATTTAAAAAAATTATTAATGAAAAATATATATATTATTATGTTTCTTAAAAATTATTTTATATGATAATTGTAATTTATTTTTAATATACTTATATTTAATAAAAATATTTATAAGAACTTTAAATTATAATTTTTAACTATAAGGACGTAGTTTATTTATAAATATAAGAGAAATTTAAATTATAACTATAAAAATAGTTATTAAAAAAATTATACAATATATTTTTTAGGAAAATATTTTAAATTTTTTAGTAAAATATGTGTAATAATTTCAGAAGAACAAAAGTCGTAAAAATAATCTAAATCCAAAAAATATTAGTTTATATTAGGTCAATTTTATATTAAAATAAAATAAAATAAAACTAGGTCAAAATTTTTATTTTTTATATTTAATACCTATTTAATAAAAAATAGAACTAAATCGAGACAACCTCTTATGTTTTATTCTGAAAGTAAACTTATACTCACAAAATAAGTAATTATAAACATTTAAAAAAATATTTATCAAATTTTGAATAATGGCATTAAATATTCCTACCTAAAACTATTTTATGAGCATTTTTAATTAAAATTTAAATCATATAACATTATTAATAAAAAAAACTAGTTAATTTAACTATATTTATAATTATGCATGTTTTACATAAAAAATGAGGTGATATTATTTTATAGATGAATTTTTATGAAATATACAAGGATAGATCGAATTTTTTATAAGACAAAAATTGATTAATCAAATATATTTTTATGATTTATATTCCAAAATAAAATTTACATCTAAAGCTACAGGGTAGGGGATCCCATTTACCTTTGCTCTTCATTAACATTTACCGAAAGCTGCAGCAGTGAATAATCCATGAGTAAAGAAACAATGTGTGCAAAGACGGACCATATCCGAACGAATTCAATAGCTTCATTCAATCAAGAGCATAATGAATCTGGAGCCATTGCTGCGACAATTCATTCTAATTTGTATCAAGGTGTTAATGGTTAATATATACAAGCACCCTAAAAAGAGTGAATTGGCCAACATTAGTGGATTTAGCAATACTCATATTTACAGTTTAAACGTTTCAAACACGAGGTCAACAGAAAATTTAAATAGTATTCACAGCAAGATCCACTGAAGATATTATATACATCATGCATCCATACTAAACTAGAATGTCTCTTCTGCCTTTAGGAAATTGTAATATTCAATTTGGGTCATCTCTCCACCGCTCGCAGAATCAAACTGACATCGGTAGAAGCTGCATTACCAATTTCAACAAAGATTCACATTAAAATTTTAACTCACACCAAAGAACTAATGATAATTTTTTTATACAATTATATACTGATACGATTTAAAAATTAGACAATGTAAATACCCTCATTTAAATCGTTTTATCCATTTGTTTTAACATTTTCCAAAACTGGCATCATTTCATCATTTGCTTAAGATGAAAAAATCATATATAAAAGCAAAATTATAACGATGCAGCTGGTCGTCTGGTCCCAATATTGAACAAGCATCTTAACCTTGATTGAACCTTTAAAAATGAAAAATGACATACATCCACTTTGGATCTGTTGAAATCAACCTCATTTTTCTGTTTTTAAGACTACCATAAAAAGTTAATGCAGTGAACGGAGGTAGGCTTTAAAGTCTTGTTGTCAAATGATTATTTCACCATACTCAATGTCTAATATTTGTTAAGCAACATCCCTCCCCCATTTCCCAAAAAACAAAATACAAAAAAGCAGATTATGACAAAGTAAAGAGGGCACAAATATGATCCATTACTGACATACCTGCCATCCATGCCTAGTATTACAATTGTATTCTTTTGATGGCCAAATGCAACAATGTATTGCAAACCTTCTTGCAAGCGAAATTGAGCTACAGACCACTCGGAGCTAAAATACTTGGGTAGCACACCTATAAAAACAAACAAAATTAGATTATCAAAAGCAACAAAATTTCATCACAAAATTCTTAATTTCACGACTGAATGAACCTTGGTAATGTTGCAATGACCAAGGTTCTAAAATACAGCCTACGACCTCAATTGCAGTTGCATCAGCTGTATTTTTCAGCAATTTCCAGGAATATAAAAGAATTGGATAGTAATTGCACTTTAAAACCTCGCCAGCATCAATTACTGTTCCAGTTCTTGCACAATCAGTAAACATGGGACTAAATTTCCGCAAAATATCATTCAGAAATAACGCATGGCGCACAAACCTTTAATAAATGAAAGAGACGAAACTGCAGTGGGATTAGCAGGATTAGCTTCAGAAGTTCCATGCGATCTGTCATGCCCCATCAATCCAGAATCAACCTTGAGGTTGAAAACATGAACGGTCCCCTTGTCACTTGAGACAGCCAGCCACTGTGCAGTAGGTGAGAAAGCAAGGCTGTATATCTCTGCTCGGTCTGCACCCCTCCTTACCTGAAAATCATCAACCACAAATTCCCATTCAAACCTCCAAATCAATTTGATTTCACCACTAACATCTTTAAATATTAAAAGCAATTTATTTCTCAAAGATACTAAGCTCACATTTAGTTCCAACAAACCTACCCCTATAAAGTTAATTTGAGCAAATACCCTGTTCTTTTAATCCTACAGCAACCCTCTTCGTTACTTGAAATATATTTCCCTGACACCCTTTATAATGCATTGTGTGCAAACTCAAGGTGCCAATGTAATCTATTCAGAATATTATTTAATACTTTCTTCATGTTGTGTTGGGAAGATTTATAGGAGGATTAAACAAACGAAAAAGTTTGAATGCAATTCATTACTGCCTTTTCAATCAAAAATTGAGTTTCGCACGCATTACTTCTATAACCCATATTGATCTTTAATGCAAATTGCAAAGCTTTACCAAATAAATAACCAAAGTAAAACACTAATTCTATTAACATCACTTAAAGCACCTACGATTTGTATTTGAATAAAAGAGAGAAGGAGAAAATGGCACTGAATTCTCACCTCTTGGAGCAATGAACCATCGAGGGTATTGAAGAGCCTGATGAGGGTGCCCTTGGAGCTGGCGGTGGCGAGCAACCTGCCATCATGTGTGAGAGCAAAACACGCGATTCGGGAATCGTGCGCCATGATGAACTTGGTCCTCTTAGAGGCGTAGTGCTCAACCCTAACCTGCCCCTTCTGCAAGCCGGGGCAAACGAGGACCATGGTGGCGGAAACGTGGGAGAGGTCGCAGAGACCCTTAGGGTTGGCGAAGGTCTCGATTTGGTGCAGCACCTTGAGATCGGAGAAGTTGTACACGAAGATCTTGTGCGCCAGGACCACCACGATGCGGTCGCGCCGGAGACGGACGCCCTTCACCTCGGAGCGGAAGGAGAGCTCGCCGATGCAGCGGGACTGGTGGTCGTCCCAGATCATGACCTTGTTCGGGGGGTAGCGGGGATCGACGCCACCGCCAACAAAGGCGAGTATGTTGCATCGGAAGAGCATGTGAACAAGGCCGACGCCGCCGCCGGGGCCGAAGTCCCGGCGGAAGATCTCGCGGAAGGGGTCGCAGTTGTAGATGCGGAAGCCGCGGTCTGTGGCGGCGGCGAAGCAGCCGGAGTCCTGGTTAAAGGAGAGGTGAAGGAGCGTGGCGGCGTGGGAGTCGGAGGTTTGGGCGGTGGTGGCGGAGGCGGGGGGTGCCTCCTCGGATTCGAGGGTTTGCGGTGGTGTGTGAGACATTATTAGGAATTGAATGAAATCAATTCGATTGTTGTATGAATCGAATTGTTTGATTTTGAAGGAAAGTTTTGGTTGTGTGTTGAGTTGAATATTGAGGAAGGTGAGGTTGCTCCAATGTTTGAGAAGTTGTGTTGTGTTGGATTGCCTTCGTGCTTTGCAAGGGATGTGGTGTGTTGTGTACAACGATGGATTCTCGAGAACGTTAACTACTTTTGTTTCTTTCTTTTCCTTTTATGAAAAAAATAAAAATAAAAAATCTTTTCCTGTAACCAAAAAATTAAATATCTTTCGGCTTACCCGGTTTCACCCAATGAAGAAACACGGGAATTCAACAACCTCTCTCTCTCTCTCTCTAGACTTATCATATACATCTACTATCTCTTTTTAAACAAATTTTATTGAGGATATAATTGATTTATTTTTAAAATAGTTTTAAAGTTAAAATTATTTTAATCATTTTAAAAATTTATGATCTATTTATCTAGCTTTGTTTTCAAAAACTGTTTTCAATATCAACTTTTGGAAATTAATTTTTTAAAATAAGTTAAAAAATAAAATTATTATGTCACCAAAATTTAAAATATGTTCTACATAAAGAGGATTGGCGGGGAGGTTGTAGGATGTATTCAATCTCTTCTTGTTGATAAAATCAACCCATGTGATACATTTTCAAAGATTTATTTATTTATTTTTAGTTTATTTAAAAAAGATCAAACATATTTTGTAATTATTTCATTAAAATAATCTTAAATATTTATTCTTTAAGTTTTAAAAAACAAAATACAAAATGATAAAATATATCTTTTATTTTTATCGATATTTAAAGATTAATTTTATAATCATCGTCCAACTTTCATTACAATGGTTTATTAATGTGAATATTATTCTTTCTATGTATATAAAATATACTTATAATATTATTATTATATATTATAAGATTATATGTAAATATTTTGTTATTATATAATTTAAATATTTTAAAAATATTATTTAAAAATATTTAAAAAATATAAAATATATTATTATAAAAAATATTCAATAAATTAGTTTCTATTTAATTAATATAAAATAATAAAAGTTTTAAATATTAATTTTATAATCTCTTAAAATATAATTATTTTATTAAAATAAATTTTGATACATATAAATAAAAATAATAAAATGGAGAAATTATGAAATAATAAAATTAAATAAAGATAAATTATAAATAAAATAATACCAAGTACTACTAATATTAAAAAAATTATAATATTGAGAATGTAAATTGCATTATCTATCTCACTTATTTTTTTAAAAATAAAAAACCCAAACCCAAATCCGTATATATATATATATATATATATATATATATTCTACTTAAATTTTTCTTGTCAAAATGATAAATAGTTTCGTATATTTATCATCCCATTTTTTTTTTATGTTTTGAAAAGTTAATGTAGATCTTATTCCATCCTTTACGTGATAAAAATCAAGTTTTGGACATGATTTCATCATTGAACAAGTTTATTGACAAAAAAATATAAACTAAAAAACAAAATTACAAGATATAAATTATGATTTATAGTTTTTAGTCAAAACTCAAATATTTTTTTCTAAATAATACAACTAAACCATATTAAATTAAGAAAAAAACTAGGGCCTAAATCAAGCACAAATGAAGAGGCCCAATATATTGGGCCGGATCACACATGGCACACCCATGTCCGATGCGCATTACTTCATAGATTTAATTCATAAGTGTTTTTCTCTGTTCGGAAGACCTAAACAAAAGCCAATTGCAGGTGTGCGGAACTCGAACCACCCGCGTTCAAATTTTCTCCTCCGCCGGCGGAATCTACTTCCGAACCATCATTAGCTTCCAACAGTTCCGACTCGTGATGGCGGAAACCACGGCGACAGAAGCCGTTCGCGAGGAAGAAGAAAAGAAAGAAGAAGCTGAGGAACAAAGTTTCGAAGAGCTCGGCGTGGACGCTCGTCTCCTTCGCGCCTTACACAAGAAAGAAATCGAGAAACCCACTCCAATTCAGCGCGTCGCGATTCCACTCATTCTGGTTACACTTTTTTCGAACATCAACTATCGCTATTCACCATTCAACTTCACTTAAAACTAAACTTGTTTACTCGCTGTTTCCAGCAAGGTAAGGACGTGGTTGCACGCGCCAAAACTGGTTCCGGAAAGACCTTAGCTTATCTTCTCCCATTGCTTCAGAAACTGTTTACTGCTAGTGCCGAGCGGAGGAAGCTCGCGCCCAATGCTTTTGTCCTTGTCCCAACTCGCGAACTGTGTCAACAGGTGTGTAACTTTTTTCTATTTCTTTCGTACTTTTTTGTTTTTAGTTTGTATAACTTAATTTCTTCTTATTTATTTTTTATCTGTAATTTCAGGTGTATGCGGAAGTGTTGTCGCTGGTTGAGTTGTGCAGAGTTCAACTGAAAGTTGTGCAGCTGAATAGTAACATGCTTGCTAATGACCTGGTTGGTTATGTGTTCTAAAACATTGTTTGTTTGTTGTAGGAAAGAAGTTAATTTGTGCATCTGGTACACGTGTGGACGTTCTATTTATGTTTACAATTGTTTTACAATGTGCATTACTGTAATTTTCTTTGAATTGGGTTTGCAGCGGGCGGCATTGGCTGGACCTCCTGATATTTTGATCTCCACTCCTGCTTGCGTAGCGAAGTGTTTGTCCGGTGGCATACTTAAGGCGGCATCCATTAACGAATCGCTTGAAACCCTAGTTCTTGATGAGGTGAAACCATTTACAGTCAATTGTTTGCCAAGAATCTTTGTTTATATTCAGCTGTCTAGTTCTGAAACAGCTAGCAATTTTTCTTTTTAAAGTTGGATTATATTCACAGAGCATATGTTTTTGCAATTGTGTTAATGACACAACTAGGTCTCAAACATATTTTTGGGTTTAACGGTTTTCGTTGATTTGCAGTTTTCACGCTTTGGTTATTTTTTAAGTTATTAATGGCTTTTCAAGTCGCTGATAATGATTCTACTCGTTAGCATTTGGTGACATGATCAATGCTCAAAATAATGTTTCAGGCAGATCTTCTATTATCATATGGGTATGAAAATGATATAAAAGCTTTTACACCTCATGTACCCAGAAGTTGCCAGTGTCTTCTTATGTCTGCAACTTCAAGGTGTGTTATTACGGTGTTTTTTCCACTTTTGACATTTTTAATGTTTTCTGTCATTTTCAAATCCCTCTCTTCATATAAAAATGTGCGCGTGTGTAATAATGGGTTACACTCACTTTTACACCATCAATAGCTTTACATAACATGCGACTTTCATTGACCTGGTCATTGAATTATCTCATTAATTTAGTTCACAGTAATACGAGTTTCACTCACGTTCACACCATAAATAGCTTTACAAAAAATACTTTCATGGATGTGGCCGTCGAATTAGAACATTCTATTACCTACCTTATTTGTGTCAAATTTTGTAAAAAGTTCTTTATATTCTTGTATTTTAAAATACTTATTACTTTAATTTTAATGTACCAATAGGGTAATAGAATGACCCATTTTATAATTTTGGATTGATCTAAAATTTTGAACAATGACTCATTTTATAAAAAATTGTAATATGATGGAGTACCGGGGATAAGATATCTAGAAAAAATTTATTCAATAGGGTGAGTGTAGCTTGCACTAGTGTAAACAGCTTCATCTTTGTTCCCTTTGTTAGAATTTGCTTGCTTGTTGTATCTTGATATTAGATCATATGAAACCGAGAACAAACATGGTGATTTTTCTTGCTCATTTGTGGATTGTATTGTATGCTAGTTATAGATGAAATGAAATATTATTTCTGTAAAGTTTTACGGGTAAAGTGTTTTCCTGTGTATGCCCATTGACCGTTTCATGACATTATTTTAGATTTAGGCTTTAGATATATTATGTCCATTTGTTTAATATCTCATTTATTGTCTTGACTTGTTTCTAATGTACGATCTGCAGTACGGATGTTGACAAATTAAAGAAGTTGGTTCTACACAACCCATATATTTTGACTTTGCCTGAAGTGGGAAAAAATAAGGATGAGATCATTCCTAAAAATGTTCAGCAATTCTGGGTAATATATTTCTACCTGTCTTTTTGCCCCTATGAACTTAATTTCAGTTAAGTTAATTCTTCGGTGATATATTAGAGAAGAGGGGATATTACTTTTTTCTGTTTGGGATCTCTTTTCTTCATTGGTATATTAGAAGGAAATTAACCATTCTAGCAAGGAAAAGTTTCATTTGAAGTGAGAAGGATTTCAACACTTTATAAATAAAAATGTCATTTGATTCAGTGATCCTAAAAACATTATATTTTTGTATGAATTTAAATTTCTGTTATTGTTATGCTTCTCCCTGGAGCATTTTTTGTAAGCTAATTTGCACCATAGATTTTAGTTTTTTCATTTATGGCTGTATCTTTTTGACTCAACAATTTTTTTTTCCTGTGGAACTGATCAGGTTTTAACTGTTTTCATTAAATATTTTGGTGTCAGATCTCATGTTCTGCCAGTGACAAGTTACTTTACATCCTTGCCGTGTTGAAGTTGGGGTTGGTCCAAAAGAAAGTTCTGATATTCACTAATACGATAGACATGAGTTTCAGATTGAAACTATTCTTGGAAAAGGTATGTGTTTGATGTATAAATATTCATAAGCATTCACTTGACTGGTGTTCAACTTTAGGTATTGTGTTAATATGTATGGCATTTCATGTAGGTTGATGCCAAAGTTTTGTGGTAGAAGTAAAACCATTCATGATCCTTCATCTAATAGCTTAAGCTATTTTGTAGTTGTTTCTTGATAGAATGCATTTTTTTTTATGTATTCAGTAAATTAAATCCACCTGAATACCATTCCAATTAACCTTTAGCCTGACAAACCTAATGATAGTGACAGATCACGCCATCATATATTCTACTGAATTAAAGAGCCATTAGAAATTTGATAGTTCCCTCTATGCTCTTCTAGCATCTCAGAAAAATACCACCCATGACACAAGTATATATAACAAGATTCATTCATCCAAGTCTCACATATTTATGAAACAACTATTATCATGAGTTCTAAAAAAATTTTATACATGGAATGTACTAGCACTGACTGACCAACTACAATTGAAAAAGTAAAAGGTGAAATCCTATCCCAATAGTTGCATAATACTAAAGTAAAAAATTACTAGCCACTACCCACAATAGAAACTATTCTAGCCAAAAGTCATGAGAGGTTCAAAACTAAAATATTCAATGTGAGTTACTATATTATTGTTATTGTGTATTTATAAACTAAAGAATAGCTTATTTTCCCCCCTTATTCTTTGCGAATCTCACATTTTAAGGTATTGTTACTAGTGGTGCTTGGGCTCCGATTTACCTTAGTATATCTTTGTAGTTCAGGGAAGTTGCACTTATCTAGGTGCTTTATAAGGCAAGTTACTCATTTTAGGTATCCTAAAATATCGGTCTTAAGTGATAATACACCTGAGATTCGAGGTATCCAAATCTCCTATGTAGACCAAGACCATAAGATAAGTTAAGATGCCAATATCCAACTCATTTTGTCTTACATCTGAGGTCAAATTTGGCCTGTGACCGATGCCAAAATCCAGTCAAATTTACTTAGGCATTGAAACTTAAAATTGTGCATCTTGGACTGAAACTTGACGGTATTGAAGTCTACCCAAATATGAGAGAACTCCTAAGCAAACTTGCCTAACCCCACAAACAAGATACTTGGTAATATGAGAGACTACGAGGAAAAGGATAAAGGAAATATGAGTCATGAAGTCTTAGTATGAGTATAAGAAACAGAGTCAGAAAGGAGAAACAAACATTGCACGAGTGTTCACATTCATGTATCATAGTTATCACTCATCTGGGCCCAGTCTCATCCGATATAGAAAAGGCCACATAATCACTTTGACGTGACAAATTGTATGTCAAAATGTCTACTATGCGAACTAGGCTCATAAGCTGTGTTATCTCTTCATTATAACAAACAATATCAATAGGAAAAAGCGCATTTAGCTCTTAGCCTGCATTCCCTTTTTGTTACAGCAAACAGTGACCCATTATGAAAACACAATCAAATATAACATGAGAAGTAAGATTTCAACAGTCAATGAAGACTATATTCTATTTCAAAATCTTTCATCGTTCAGTTCAGTGTCATCTATCAATGCCTTCAGGATGAGCTACTGGTGTAATTTCTTCTGAATCTGAGCATCAACAGATAAATTTCTAGGCTTCGGAAATCTATTTCAAAAACCCATAATAATGGGTAATATAGATTTACCCTCCAATTTACAAGGCCTAGAGTTTTAAGAGAGCCGATATAAAATCTTGCATTTACCTCCAATTTGACTCTAGTACTCAATGCCACACTCTTTACCCATTCATGCCATAAAATGAATTCCCAAAACAACTGAGTTATTGGAACCTCAAAGAATTCCATATAGGGTGTTCCAAAGAGTGGGTTTTTCTCCTTTCAAGGTTTAACTCAAAGCAACAATTGTTAACTCAAATGCAAAGTGGGTTGATTCTTCACTTTCTCCTTCATTTGCACTTGGTACCACTGAGTGTATGTGTGTATTTCTCCTCCATGTCTGCTTATTCCTGTAAAATTAAGCCCCCTCTTTTTATTTTTTTCTTTTTAAATACCCACGACATTTCAATAGTTTCAAACTCAATTCATACATCAATATTAGAAAAAAAAATGTGATCTTCAATAGTTTCATGCTGTATCAATTTTAATGGACTAATTATTTAATAAATACTTATATGTTTCGAATTCCTCCTCTCCCCCCTTCAGTATAACTGCTCAAAATGTTTGGAGGGTTATTTTCTACAACCCTACTTCTAGTTTAAAACATATATAGCAGTGTGATTATTTTGTTGTCATTATTCCTTACACTTTCTCATTTCCCCTCCTTTATCATTGTAGTTTGGCATCAGATCTGCTGTTTTAAATCCTTTGTTGCCTCAGAATTCTCGTCTCCATATTCTGGAGGTATGCAATATTTATTCCTTCTTTGATTTTGTAGAATAGCTGCTAAAAATTTTCTACTTAACCTGTTGCTACAGCATTTTCCTCCCAACTAAGCTTCAGGAGTTTATGTTTTTACAAAAGTTGTTTTATTGTCAATTAATTATGATTTATGGATCTTCATTTTCTCACATGATTTTGAAAAACCTGTTTTTATCAGGAATTCAATGCGGGCCTGTTTGATTACCTAATTGCAACAGATCTGAGTCAGTCAAAGGAAAAGGATAAAGTGCCTAAGGAAAGTAATGTTGTGTTACCGAAGTCTAGAAAACGTGCTAAAGTAAAATTAGATTCTGAATTTGGAGTTGTAAGGGGGATTGACTTTAAAAATGTATTCACGGTATGCAAGTCCTCTCTTAAATCTCTCTGGTGTCTTTATGTTGACACATTTGAAATTTTTGGCACATCCTATTGTTATTAAGCATTGTGTACTATGTTAATTGGTAAATTGTATCTTCTGGTTTATATCCTTGTTTCATGAGGAGGGTGCCATGTTCACCAAAATCAATTAGTTAATGCTTTCTGTTGTTGATGAACAGGTTATTAACTTTGAAATGCCTCAAAATGTTGCGGGGTATGTACATCGAATTGGGCGTACAGGAAGAGCATACAATTCTGGTGTGTCTGTCTCTCTGGTGAGTTTCTTGGATAAAACAAATCCCCGTTTATATTACCTAAATTTTAAAATATATTGTTAGTTGCTTTTTCCTTACTTGTCCATTGGGCATTCCATGGAGATCCTAGATTGCACCAACTTGCATAATACTGGCATTTAGGTATTTCTTTGTTTCATCTCAGGTTTCTCCGGATGAGATGGATACTTTAGAAGAAATAAGATCTTTTGTTGGGGATGATGAAAACGAAGGCACAAGTTCCATTACCGAGTTTCCCCACCTCACCAAGCATGCAGTTGAATCTTTACGGTATAGGGCAGAGGTGATTTATTATTTCCTTTACTATTGACTAGCAGAGAAACACAGGTGGCTGCCGCACTTGAAATGAATAGGCATGTGCGTAGAGGAGTGATTTGTTTATGGGTAACCGTTAAAATATTGAATTTTTGTTTCTAAGTGAAACTTTAAACCTAGAAAGTTTTGTAAGTCATGCAAAGTTAACAAATATAATTTGATTGGAGACAGTTATGCTTTGTGCCTTATTTTTTTATTTTTATCTGATTTTAAGTGGATATGCTATGCATGCCTAATTAGACTCGGTGTAACCAGCTGCTTTTTCAAATAATAGCGATGATTGTCTTTCTCTTGCAGGATCTTGCAAAGAGTGTAACAAGTATTGCCGTCCGCGAGTCACGTGCCCAGGATTTGAGGAATGAAATTTTGAACTCTGAAAAGTGAGTGCTTGTTTTATCATTTGGTATTGGTATTGTTCGGAACTTTAACTATGATCCTATGTTTATTCCCTTTCTAATTCGTTGTGCACACCTCTTTTTTTTTGAAGGTTGAAAGCCCACTTTGATACTAATCCAAAAGACCTAGGTAATATAATTGGTTAATATTATTGCTAAATATAACATTGACATTTATTGTGCTAGCTGATTGGGATAAGGCTTTGTTGCTTTTGATATCAAAGTTAAATCTAAAGGATAGAAATCAAATTTGAGCAGATCTACTGAAGCATGATAAAGTTTTGAGCAAGAATGCACCACCTCCACACCTTCGTGATGTGCCTGACTACCTATTAGACAAGCCAACGAAAGAGGCAAGGGAAATGGTCAAGCTTGCAAGGGATGCTATGGGGAATAATAATCGCCGCAAGGGATCCAAGAGAAAATTAAGAAAAGATGGAGATCCTCTGAAGGCTATATCCGCTTTGGTATGGTTATCCTTTTCTCTTCTCTTTACCTTGTATTCCAATTCTGAATCTAGAATGATAAAGGGTGAGAGGAGGGAAAAAAAATGGACAAAACACTAAGGATGCACATAAAATATAATTGCAATTTTGCACTGATCTAAATGATAATGCTGAATAGGTATTCTGTATTCTGTTTGACTTGTATACAATTTGGTCAGGCATCAAAAAGACCTCACAAAGTTAGGAAGACTGCTGGAAGCGATGGCAACAATAGTGGTGATAGACATAAACGCAAAAAGAATAAGGGTATTTGATTTATTTGCCCTTTTCCCACAAAGCCTTGTAATAGGCTCAATTTTGTTGTAATTGAGTTCTAAATATCGTAAATCAGAAATAGTAAAGTATTGAAATTGCTATTCCCTTTATACAGCGGAGAACCTGAAGTTAGTTAATATTTATCGTTACAAAATCAAATTTTGCTTATTGAAACTATGATCTCGATTGTTCATATCTCGTCTTGTGGAAGTGGTACACTAGTATCTCCCCTTCCCGTTCGAAGAACGTTACTAGAGTTGTTTATGGCATATTCACTTTTAATTTTAGCAGGTTAAAATGTGTTTTTGGTCATTTTCTAATTTGTTCCCTGTAACATTTTATATTTTTTAAGTAGTTTGTCTAAAAGTATTATTTTTAAAATGATCATTTGAAAAGAAAAATTATATTCTTTTTTTTTCCTTATTTTGTTATAGCCATTATAATAATATATCTATTATGAAGTACTATTTTCAAAAGGGAATTAAAAATTATCTTTCTCTTAAAACATCTTGCTTGGAATTGCTTAAATTATAACAAATTTAAAATGAGTTGAATGAAAATTTAATGTTAATTAATAAAAAAAATTATTGTTAGTATAATGTTAAAGTAGTTATTGTGAAAAAATGTATATTATGCACAACGACTTGTTATTAGATGATAATTGAGTTTTTTTATTTTTTATTTAATTAGTCCGTGGGTAGACTTTTACTCTTTTTAAAGTGTTATAAAAGAAGATATATATATATATATGATGGACAGCGTAATGAGGTTAAAAGCTGTAAATCAAAACTCTATGATGATTTATAAGATCGATTCATATTGTCGTTATAATATTTTATTTTGAAATTTAATGGAATCTAATTTTATCCTTTTATATCATCTAAAATAAAAATAAGCCGTGTAAAACAAAATCCTTCATTATGAGGAACAAGGTTTAGGTACTATAACGATGCGAAAATATTATAATGTTTTTTTAGTTTTGGTTTAGTCTCTTGAAAAATTTGACTGGCTTTTGATTGTTATATATTTTTTCATTAATATCTTTAGTATTTATTTTCAAATATCATTGTTGAATAATTACACAAAATTCATATACATTATTACATTAATTAATAATATAATGTGGTAAATGAAATAATTGACTGTAAGTCGTTAATGTGTTGAGTATATGGTTTCACAATAATGTAATTAATTGTTATTGATTCAATATTTTTTTGTTATGATATAAACATCGCTACAAATATTCTAGTAATTTAAAACTCCCCAAAAAACGAAATTTTATTCTCTCTTTCTCACTACAACAAACTCGTTATTATCACTTCATTCTTTTGTCACCATGTGTTGAACTTATGCGTATTTCTTTCTGAAGCAAATTGAATGATTATGAAGGGTTTAAAAAAAATGATGGTTGAAAATATTCACAAGTTTTCTTATTTTTTACATTATTTTGTTTTTTCAACATTTTTCTAATCGTTTTACGTTGTCAATATTTAATAGTATTTAATCATATGACTATCCATTGAATTAAAGTTGATATTTGATTAGAGAGACTAAAAATTTAAACGTCAAGGATTAATAAAACAGGTAATTTAAGATAGTTGATAAGAAAATAAAACAGGTAATTTAAGATAATTGATAAGAAAATAAAACAGGTCAAAGAAATGAAGAAACTAGACTTGAATTTAATGCAACGTAATTTAAAAAAAAAATGTAGTTGAGACGATATACTAGTAGTTTACGTAATAAGCCACACTCAACATGACTATGAGAAATGTGTTTTCATATTTTGAAAATAATGCTTTTTATGTTAATTGTAAAGAAATATGTTTTATGTTATCAAATTTAAAGATTTTTTTAAATAATTTGTTTTGAAGAAATCATTTAATAAAAATATATTGACAACTTTTACGCATCTTACAATCAAATCTGATGAATTTTACATTTAAATTTTTGTTGAAATGTTCGGTTTCATGAATATTTTGTAAATTTTGTTTCAGTATTTTGTACACTGACTTAAAAAATTGAATATTCTTTTGGTTTCTCATTTATACACTTTCATAATTTTACATTTTTCATTTATATTTTACAACAAATAATATTAGTTGTTTTACATATTCACTTTTATGACAAATACTTAAACTAGTTAAAACTTAAGTTGAAAGTTAGAGTGTAGATGAAAACTAATAATAATAATAATAATAATAATAATAATAATAATAATAATAATAATAATAATAATAATAATAATAATAATAATATTTAAATTCTAAAATTAACAAATAAAAAAAACACAATTTTTTAAAAATTGAAAAACTTAAAAAAGAACCTGAGACTAATAATAAAAGGAATGTTTGTGTCCTCTTATGAAATAAAATAAAAAAGTAGTATAAAACAAAAGATAAGTGATTATTTAAAAATTTTAAAAAATATGTGAAGATTTCAACGATGTAACATTTTATTTAGTATTTAATGAAGTAAATTGATAATCACTCCCAAATAAATACAATCAATTTACAACTCTATATATATTAATATAATAATTATAAATAAATAAAAAATCAATATTATATTATTAAATAAAGTAATTTAATAATTATTTATAAAAAGTTATGAATCAATTGTTTTCTTAACTGTATCTTAAATAAGACAATGTGTCAAAAAAGTTTATTAATAAAATATTATTTTTCAAATAATAAAATTTAAAAATATAATTAAGCTAATTTTAATTGATTAACTGTATAACAAAAATTACAATGAAGACTACACTAAAAACATTATACATGAAGCAATCATAGAAAAGTTGTTACAGATAATAAATCAGATGATTTCTACGCCAACGAACTTAACAATGAGTAATAATTGTTTTAAACTACTTGATTATAAGATTTAAAAAAAAACATTATTATCTTTTTTTTAAAATAGTTTATTATTATATATTACAAATTTATGAACTTTATAATTATTAATTTAAAAATAATATTTTATCAGAGGTTCTAATAATCAATTGAGTCTTCCCCTCCCGTATTCGAAAATTAATCTCTTTTAAAAAAAAAAAATAGTTATATTTTATTTTTACCGTTCGAGTTGCAGGCGCACGAAGGGATCACCCTCTCTCAGGGCTTCCATCGTTTATTGTATGTATTATGTAAGCTTTTTCAATGCTTATATCACAACACAACTCTCTCTGTCTCTCTCTCTACATTCCAGTACTAACCGCCGCCCGCTGCCGCTGTAACCTCAATCGCCGACCAATTCCACCGCCACGGTCGCTAACACAATCAACTCACTCGCAATTCAATTCCTCTATCATATAGGGTTTGAATTTGTCCCCTCGTGCTACGAGCCACAGCTTAGTTAGGGTTCCTCTTTGAATGGATCACGCGCGATCGACTAACGGCGAGGACAATGCGACGGGAATTCCGGACGACTTGCGGTGCAAGAGGTCAGACGGCAAGCAGTGGCGGTGCACGGCCATGTCGATGCCGGACAAGACGGTGTGCGAGAAACACTACATCCAGGCCAAGAAGCGCGCCGCGAATTCCGCAATGAGGGCCAACCTGAAGAAGGCCAAGAGGAAGTCGCTGTCGCTCAACGAGTCTGATGCTTATTTGGAGAGTAAGAGCGACGATTTTGACGTTCCTCTCTCCGCCATAAGCCTTTCGCAGAAGAAGCTCTCGAAGAACCAGTTTCGTTACACACCCGAGCGTGACGCGCGAAGAGGCTCCTCTGCGAGACAAGCTCATGACGAGGTGGATGTGGATGTGGAAGCGGACGCGGATGCGGATGCGGATGCTGATGCTGACGCTGATGTGGCGCTCTATGAAGAAGACAATTGGGTCCCCTATGACTCTCCGCCGGACTCCTCGCGCAAGAGATCGCGAAGGAGCTTGGATGCTAATGCCACCACTGTGAGTTCAGTTTGGGTGGGTGATTTTGATTCAAGTGTAGTGTAGTGTGCTGAATTTGGAAGGTTGTGTTTTGTAGCAGGAATATTCCGACGGAACCTCTGGTTCTTCTGAAGACACCGGCGGGCAGACTTGTCATCAGTGCCGGAGGAGTGACCGAGATAGAGTTACTTGGTGCTTAAAATGTGATAGGAGGGGATATTGTGATAGCTGTATATCATCATGGTGAGAATGGAATTTTACTAATGATAAATTATAATAACTCTTTCAGTTGGGTTGTTATTGTTACTTATGGTTTAATTTTAGGTACTCGGACATTTCGTTGGATGAAATTCAGAGGACATGTCCTGCTTGCCGTGGTATATGTAATTGCAAGACTTGCTTGCGGAGTGATAATTCTATCAAGGTATTTTGTTTGTTACAAAGTCAGACCCATTTGAATAAACTTCTCATAAACACCCATGAAAGAAGATCATTAGATGCTAAACTGAAATGAGCGTCTCTTCTATTAGCTAAACTCAACTTATGCATTTTAGGTTTTGGAGTTGTAAAATAAGAAAACTACTACAAAAATTATGTGGATAAGTTGATTTTAGCATATGGGGAAGTTTATCCAAATAGGACCTTAAAATTTGATGAGGCATGCCTTTGAAGTTTAGCACGTGTAATTTTTTTTTCCTGTTAGTGATTTTCTGGTTTTGCCGGGATTAAGGTTCGGATACGTGAGATACCTGTTCTGGATAAGTTACAGTATCTCCATGTGTTGCTATCTTCGGTGCTTCCTGTGGTAAAGCAGATCCACCGTGAGCAGTGTTTTGAAGTGGAACTTGAAAAGAAGTTGCGTGGTAAGGTCCATTTTAAGGTTTATTTGGGTTTGCGTGCAGCTGTTAGTGGTGATTGGATGTCTATGTTGTTTTTCTTTGTGTGGTGATAAGCATTTGATGTTGTAAAAGTGGTTTCTCTCTTAGGTGCTGAGATAGATCTCCCGAGAATAAAATTCAACACAGATGAGCAGATGTGCTGGTATTTGTCACAATTTTGTAGAATGGTTGATTTTAGTGGGTGCGCTGAAGCATCAAACACCTGTTCCTTATTCATTAGTAGCATAAGGCTCATTATCTGTTTTGTTTTTTTTTCTTGCAGCAATTTCTGTAGGATACCTATTACTGATTATCATAGACGTTGTCCAAATTGCTCATATGATTTGTGCCTTAGTTGCTGTCAAGATCTTCGAGAAGCAACTGCAGATGGCAACAAAGAACCCCAGACAGAGCTAGCAAAAGCTTCTGATCAAAATATAATAAGTAAATTTCCTCATTGGAGGTCCAATGACAATGGAAGTATTCCATGTCCCCCTAAGGAGTATGGTGGCTGTGGTCATTGTTCATTAAATTTAAGCCGAATTTTCAAGATGAATTGGGTAGCAAAGTTGGTGAAAAATGTTGAGGAAATGGTTAGTGGCTGCAGGATTAGTAACACTGATGGTCCACCAGAAATGGGCCTGAATGATCTCAGTCTCTGCCAATATTCTCGTAGAGAAGCCAGTGATGATAATTTTCTTTATTGTCCAGCATCTGACGATATCAAAACTGATGGGATTGGAAATTTCAGAAAGCATTGGAAAAATGGTGAGCCTGTTATTGTTAAGCATGTATTTGATGGGTCATCCGTTTCAAGTTGGGATCCAATGGTCATATGGAGGGGGATTCTAGAGACAACAGATGAGAAAGCAAAAGATGAAAACAGAATGGTTAAGGCCATAGATTGCTTAGATGGATCTGAGGTACACATATATCCCTACCTCTTCTCTTTTTTTGTATTGGTTGTTGACCTGTGTTTTGGGTTCATCAATTATACTAATTACTCTGCTATTGCTGTATTTTATTATTTTTATATTGACAGATTGATATTGAGCTTGCTCAGTTCATGAAAGGATACTTGGAAGGGTGTGTTCATGAAAATGGTTGGCCACAGTTGTTGAAATTGAAAGATTGGCCTTCACCTAGTGCATCTGAAGAGTTTCTATTGTACCAAAGACCTGAGTTTATCAGCAAACTACCTTTACTTCAGTATATTCACTCCAAGTGGGGCCTTCTCAATGTTGCAGCTAAATTGCCTCATTACTCCTTGCAGAATGACGTAGGACCCAAGATTTATATAGCTTATGGAATTAGTGATGAACTTGGAAGAGGTGATTCAGTGACAAATCTCCATTTCAATATTCGTGACATGGTATTTTACTTTATCCTCATTAACCTGAGAGATGGGAATGGTCCTTTTTTGTCTTTATAATTTTATTAGCTTTAGAATTTTACAGCCACTTTATGGTAATCTGGGTCCCTCGACAGATTGCAACATCTATATAATCTTTGTTCTAATTTTAAATGTTTTGACAAAATCAATTGATGCCTCATTGTTGATTTATGTTTGCTTATGTATTTATCATGGTCATACTTCTCATATTAATATATGCAGATTGATATTTGTACCAAATTGTCAACAATTAGTGCTTACTGCCAATTTATAATGCCCTATTTGAATTCAAATGTCTAAACATGTGGATTTTTTACCCAACCTCTGCTACATGCTACGCATTTGTGTTTAATATTTTAAAGTTCTCTTTCTCTCTCTTTCTCTAATCTCCCTGTTATATTGTCTAGTAAAGTTAACAAATAATTAATTTACTTTGTTTCAATAGGTGTACCTTTTGGTTCATACAAATGAAGTAAAGTTGAAGGCCTGGCAGAGAACTAAAATTGAAATTATACAAAACGCTAAAGCTTATGAAGAATCTGAGGCAAAAGAGTCGCATGGGGATCCTCAAATATTTTCAAGGGGGAGTTCACCTGATTCATCACTTGGTACAAAAAGTAGTGGACTGGATGTGGATTCAAACCAGAATAAGTCAACTATGGATCAAGGGTTTGAAATTTATTCTAGTGCTGAAGGTAATATTGTCAATTGTAAGCTCCCATTCACACAAAATGGAGATGTCTCTGCAAAAACACATCCTGGAGTTCTTTGGGATGTTTTTCGACGGCAGGATGTTCCAATATTGACTAAATATTTGCAAATACATTGGAAGGAATTTGGGAAGTCAGATGATGTGGGAAATGAATTTGTAAGTCTTCAAGAAAACATTTTGAATTACACTGGTTCTCCTTATTGATTGATTAACTTGTTTTTTTTTTTTTTTTTTTTTTTCTGATGGTACTCTCTGGATTCAAGGTTGCATGGCCTCTTTATGGTGGAGCTATTTTTCTTGACAAACACCATAAAAGAAAGTTGAAGGAAGAATTTGGTAAGATCTTGTGTTTTTCTTTGTATGACTTGTTTAATTACTCTATTGGGTCTTGCCTTTCTCTTGGGAGCTCTATTGCACCCTCCTCAGTTGACAATTTTTTTTAGAGTTTCTTCCCATGACGGTGATGAGAGAGATGGAAGGGGAATAAAATGATTCCACTTTTTTGGGAGTTTAAGATTTTTTTTAAGTGAGTATGAGTAGAACAATTCCCTCACATTTTTGTAAGTTTAAGGATTTTTTATTGATACGTGACAAACAAAGAGATGGTCAGAAATCATTGATTGAATGTTTTAATTTAAGGAAATGAGTGGAGTTCTTGTCCTAGTTTTGGTTGTAAAATGAATAAGGGTTAATTGATTTCTCCACATCAATTTTTTTTAACAAACTTTATGTCAAGTTGTTGGAAAGTCACCGTAATTGCAGCCTATTGGAATTGGCTACCTATGATGAGTTCGACAAGAAAGGTTGAGTGAAGTGTCATAGTGTGAAACAATTGAGATGACTTATGGAGGGTTGAATCCCCAAATAGACATAAGGCCTAAGTAGTGCTTGTAAAGTTTGGGCAATTCTCACCATACAAGTGTATTTTATAGGACTGGGTTAGGTCTTAAGACAAAATCTTATGATGGTATTAGAGCCTATTCTAGATGAATTGTTAAGGCTAACATTTTCATTTCAGGACTATAGCCCTGGATGTGAGAGGGTGTGTTAGAAAGCCTACTTAAATTGCAGTATGTTAAAGTTGGTTGCCAATGTCTTGGGAAGGGCTACCAGTGAGAAGGTTCACTAGAAAGGCTGATTGAAGTGTCATAGTAGTGTGTACCATTAAGTTGTCAACTCTTACAAGGATGAGATTCCATATTAACTAGAGATAAGACCTAAGTAATGCTTAATAAAACTTTGCTTCTTTTTGGAATTAAGGATGGGGTAGAATTGCCTTGTATTTAAAAAAATTTAAGTTACTATTTTACCCCTGTATATTTATTTACTTAAAATTTTGTTAGTTTTACATATTGAAATTTTACACGGATAGTCTATCTTTTTTGTATATTTTACTGGTGTAAGAGAAGATAGGGAGCACTTGTAGAAAGCCTAATTGTACAGTTTTTTTTTTTGTATAAATTTTCTTATGAGTACTGTTTAATTATTTATTCGACACTTAGCACCAACGGCGCTACATTGTGGGTAGCCCTAGAAATTTCTGAAATTTTTTTTTTTTTTATCTTCTTCCGTTTTTTTATCTTCCTAAATAGGAGTGGAGCCTTGGTCATTCGAACAGAATTTGGGGGAAGCTATATTTGTTCCTGCTGGTTGCCCTTTCCAAGCAAGGAATGTTCAAGTGAGTTCATTTACCTCATTATTTCACTTAGATACTAATTACTAAATTGACGACATCCATATTTTTATATCATACTTATACAAAGGAATATTAATCTGATAAAGTGTATATCATTATTAATATATTTCTTTATTTTTATGAATATTTAATCTACGAGTTACTGTGATCTTATTCTATGCCTGATAGTGTCATAACTGAAATGATTTGAAATATATGGTAAACGATTTTTGCTTCATTGTTTGCTTTCTGCTTGGGCTGATTTATGACTAAAATTATCATGGTGATTGATCCATGCAACCAACTACACCTACTTTGTTTTTTTGTCAATTTTTGCAGTAATTTTGCTACTTGAGTGAAACACTCATACCTATGAATATCCAACTATAGTTAAACTACACATTTACATTGGGGTTGTTAGAAACCAGTTGATAGTTACTTTGTTCTGTTGTTAATCTATATCAAATACATTAAATTTGAATCCTTTGCTAACATTAATACCTTTTTTTTTTTTGGAGGGGGAGGCCTCTCCCCTCCATCAATAGGAGAACTTTACAGTTGCAGGTTAAAAGCCTGTGTTTATATTTTAATGCTGTGAATTGACTACTAAGGTAGCAGTTCTAGCCTCCTTTGGCTTGTCAGGAACATTTCTGTTAGGATTTCAAGTGTAAGTATAGTCCTACCTTGGGTAAAAATGGGCAAGATAAGCAATATAGAAGGATAAAGACCCACAAATTCATTGTCTAAAGGTTTTGGGTTAAATATAATATCATATTTTCTTATATGATTAATTCATAACCTATTTTCCGAATATTTCTCCCTTGACCGGTAACAATTTCTTAGGAAGAATTTGTTTTTAAGGTATTAAATTGCATTCCCAGGAATACAACGCCTAGGAATACTATTTCCATGAACATGTTTAGTTGACATTTAATAATTTTAGAAAAAAAAATTATAACATTGAAAAACATATGAAGCCACTTCCATTTCACCATATAAATGAGAAGTAAATATGAAGATTTTGTATCTTTGACAAACAACAAATCCTGGGAATGTGAAAATTTTCAAGTTCAATCTTCTGGGAATTCTTTTATGGTACCACGAAACAAGTGCCTCCTAAGAGTAATTACACTGATGTTCCTGACATTTTCTCAAATTACACCTACCTCTACCTTCTTGACATAGAAATAACACCAATCTGTCTTACTAGCAGGAGGCAAGTTAACTGTTGTGATATAGATGTCAATGTAACTTATTCTTACTTTTCTGAAAGGTCCAAACTCTCTTTTTGAAAGTTAATTAAAAATGTTTTTATAAGCTGCTTGATTTAAATTTATATTGCATTTCTTATTGAACTGGAATGCTTATATGTTGGTTGTAGCCTAAATTCATTACAACCCAGATGTGAAAATTTTCACAGAATATTAAATTTGATGAATTTAAGTGGATATTCTTGTGTTTAATTAACAATATGAGCTCTCATGGTCGAATTTGTCATAGTATGTGCGTTCATGCTATATTTCAGTCCAATGTTCAGCTGGGCCTTGATTTCTTATCTCCGGAAAGCCTGGGGGATGCTGTAAGATTGACAGAAGAAATTCGCTGTCTACCTAATGAACATGAATCAAAGGTTCAAGTATTGGAGGTCAGAAGAGGGAAAAGTTACATTTAATCATCAGTTTTCCTCTTTTGTTACCACTTGCATATATCCTATTTTCTCCTTTTAAAATACTTCATGGACATTTATGCAGGTTGGCAAGATATCTCTTTATGCAGCAAGTTCTGCCATCAAAGAAGTTCAGAAACTTGTACTTGACCCAAAGTATGTAAATTTCACACTTGTCTAAGTCAATTGCATTAATTCTCTCTTTCTCTCGCTCGCCCAGCGCTCGTCATTAAAAATGGAAAATAAGTTATTTTGCTTGACTGATAGTTATTAATCCCGTGGTTTTAAGTTTCCTTCCGCATGGTTTTCGGAATAGGGCGGTTGACCTGTTAGGTCCCTGCAAAGTCAACCATAGACAGAAATATGATATTTCTTTTCTTATTGATCAATTTATTGTGATAATTAATTTCCCAATGTCAACATCTTAATGCTATTGCTTACCTGTTGTTTTGTTAGACTTGGCGCCGAGATTGGATATGGAGACCCCAATTTGACTGCAATGGTTTCTGAGAATTATGAGAAGATGGTTAAGCGGAGGCAGATTACTTGTGCTTGAACTTCCACGTTCGGTTTGGTCAATGACTTGGGAACGGGGGACTTATGTACATTAGTTGTATTTGAGCAATATTTTATGGGTTAATATGTTTCATTGTAGTTTTAATCAAAATACCTAGGTAACCATTTAAATGTGTATAATAGTTACAGTCGTTAGAGAATCATCATATAGTGACAAACTTCAGATCTGTATTTTATTTCAAATGTGGAAAAGAAACATGTAATATATACAAAGTCAAAAGCTTGTTTTCCGTCCTTTTTGTTAAATAAAGAAATGCTTGGCCTCTACTGGCCGCAGACGCCCCCGTACATCACACAAAAGACTGAAATTGGTTTGGCTTAGGGGCTAGCCATGGAATTCAAAAACATGGATTTGGAATCATAGGATTTACAAGGTTGACCTAAAGGGAAGCTTTTTTGGGTCTAGGCTTCTGCCATTATTTCCCATTGAAGCTTCGTTTTGAATCACTAAACTGTGAGGTTAAATGAATTAGCAATCCTATAGAAATCTGACTTCAATCGTGGCCACTCTGATTCGGGTGCTTGAGCATTTAAAGTAAAAAGCCTACCACCACGAGCGCAGCAGACGGAAACATTGTGTCGCCTAAACGAGGGGCTCTCAACTCTGAACTCCAGTTGGTAGTATTTGGCATTTCTAACGGAATCCTCTCTCAAACTTGATGCTATCAATGTGCCCTTCACGTCAGGGCGTTGCCCTGATCCTGTTATGCTTCGAACCACTGCTTCACCCACCTCATCTGGCCCTCCAAATGCTTCAATCCTAGTGAAAAAGGTTAGGTATGCAAGCTGTCAAACTTCAAATCTTACGTCAGTATTATATCACATGAGACAGGTGATTCATCATTGCTCAACTCAACTATTGATTATTTTTCATTTATTTTTTTAATGCGCCCCTAGACCCAACACGTTGCACTGAAAGGAAAAAGTGAAAAGTTATCTTTTTCTTTTTTAATTAAGATATAATTATTTTAATCGGCCATTTGATCGCCAAATAACTAATAAAGTGGAATTGAAGTGACATCTCTGAAATTTACTAGATTCTGTTCTACTGCTCATACTCACGAGAAATCTGGAGCAACAACAGGTGAAACAATCACACTAACATTGACTTCTCCGGTGGAACCTGGGGGACCAAATGCAACAACCGGTTCATTCATGTTAGAACGCCGCCGTACATTCAGAGGAGGAGGATCCAATGATCGTTCCATTTCTCTTTTCTTGGCAGCTCGATACAGCACTGTCTGATCTCCCACCCAATTTGCTGGGTATATGAATTCTGCTCATCCAAATCCAAATACATAAAAAATAAATAAATAACGTTTTTCTTTGATCTTCTGTTACACTAACGTTTGTTTTTAATATAATGAATCTATAATTCAAAATACCAAATCCTTCCTTTGTGTCAACGCAACGGCTGTAGCCAGCGATAGGATAAAGCACGTCCAGCTTCAAATTACGACCACTTTGCGGTGCCAAACCAAGAAGAAAACTGGTGATGCCACCAAAGTTTGCACCCAGAGCCACAAGTGAAGCTGACCCTATGCCCAAAAAAAGACGCCTCTGAAATTTGGTGGCTAATGGTGCAAATTCCTCTGCCGGAGATTGCCCTCCATTCACTCCCTCGTTACGATCGCCGGAACATTGTGGCATTCGAATTGTGTTCCATGCCCCAAACCTGGTTTGCACTGCCATACCCATGTGCTGCTATGCTATTCTAAGCAACAGGATACAAAATTTAATTTACACCATATACTTTGTCCCTATTTCCTGGCCCCTACCCTTTGTAACCTTTTCAATTTTGGTTCCAATCACGAGAAGGGATGCAATCCAAGTCGAACACAAAATAATGTAATCGTCCATTCTACTTGGTCGTCCATGCTGGCATGCTTCCGCCGCATCTTATCTGCTTCATGTGGTTCTCATTCCTTCCCAAGATTTTGACTCTACACCATTCGTCAGAAATTTTATCTTTTCAAGTATAAAATGTTCAACTTAAACCTGATTATTTCTTTTGGTTACGTGAATTTTATAAGTTTTTTTTTTTTTTTTTCAAATTATTCAGTAATCAACATTGTAGTTTTGCACTGATCATTTACATAAAAGAGTTTGTATTAAAGAAGTACCCATCAATGCTTTATCTTCATATCTGCAAAAATACTCCTACCTTTAACTTAGATGAAATATATCTATGTAATAAATATGTAATTAATCGTAAAAAAGTGGTTACTTATTTTAAATGATTTTAAATCCTAATGACGGTATTGTAGAAATTATGCATACATGATTGAGGGATGTTATCCGCAAATGTATATGAAAAAAAATAAAAAATTAAGGTGCACACGAATAAAGATTTCTTAATACTTTCCATTACTTAACTAATTTATGTGGTCAAAATCAGATCTCACACGATAAGTTTCTACTTTATAAGTATAAAATAAACATTTTCTTGAAAAAATAAATTTAAGAATATTTTTAGTACACGTTTCTACAAATTATTTCTATGAAAAAAAAAATGTAAGAATCAAATTTCTTGAGTTGGGGAAAAGGTTTTAATAATGACATGAAGCAACCAAAATAAGTTTATAAACTCACCAATAATGCTCATATAAATTTTGGAAACATTTTCTTATTAAATATATCAAATTACTTAAATTGTGAGATAAAAATATTACTGAATATTCTCAACACTTCTTATAATGTTTAAAAGTTAAAATTTAATTTTATAAAATTATAAAATTAATTCTAATAGATTCATTAATATAATGTTTATAAAAAATATTTTTAATTGTTTAAAAATCATCAAAGAATCAATAAAAAAAATTCTATCCTATTGTAGTCAAAACATTCAATAAATATTTTGGTAGAAACTATAAGAAAATCCAAATTCAATAGGCATTTTTTTATCAATAATCATACTAAAACTTATTTTATAGTTTATAATTAAAAAAATATTTTTACAGCAAAAATTATCAAAACTTATAATATGATTTAGTTAATTTTCAACATATATCTTCTTCACAAGAAAACATTATAATAAACAATTTGCAAATATTATTTATCTATATAACTTTTTTACGTATAAATTATTTAGACAAAACTAGTAAATATAATATTAATATTATTCCATATAAAAAATGCAAATAAATTTAAATAAATTAATATTCTTAAATCAATTATTTGCTATAATATTAACGTTAATTATTTTTCAAAAATTATTTTTTAACGATAATGGATATTTATCTTCTTTTTGGTTATTGAAAAATAAATATGAATATGTGATAACAACTCCATAATCATAATTTTTTATAAATCATATTCCTCTTATCTTTTACTTTTATATACATACTCTTTTTTTTTCAGCTATATGTTTTCAGTTAAAAGTAAGCGTGTCATAATTTTATAATCAAAACTAAATCACGGCAAAAAAATAAAATAAAATTATGCACTGAAAATTAATTTTTTGTAAGTTTTTTATGAGCACAGTCAAAATTAAATAATAAAAAAAGAACTCAAAATTGCGTCTTAATGTAATCCTATTTATGCATGGTTTAGTTGTAATTTTATAGGGCGGTCCCTAGTTGAGGTAAAGAAGGATGACTGTGAAAATAAAACTTCTGTAAGTAGCAAAGAAAGAAAAATGATACTTTCACAACCCAATTTTATACAACTTTAACAAACAATCCACTTTTAATATTATAATAATAATTTTAATTTGTTTTTATTTTTATTTAATCTCTTTCATAATTATTATATTAATAAAATGGGTTATTTTTTGAGTTTTTTTTTCTTATGGTTCTCAAAATATCATCACCCAGTACCAAATATTATTTTTTTCCCTCGTAGAGGCATGTAAAAAAAATCACCTCAAAATAACAAACACGCATATAAAATATACGGCTAAAAAAAAGAGATATAAAAGAGAGATTAAAAAAATGAATTATAAAAGTGTTTCAGAAATTGACATTATCCTTAATTTTAACATTTGAACACAAATTTATGCATGCATGGTTCTACACTGTTACACTGGCTGCTTGTGATGGTAAAATCGACCACTGTCCACGATTCAATGAGTCTTCCTCTTTAGAAAGACACGTTTCTGTTTGCTGCACCATTTCTGGACGGAAGGGAGGATTAGACAAAGAAAAACAAGCACATGACTACCAAACTCAGCTGAATCCCACCCTCTAAAGAACTATTCACCATTATTCTCCTTCCTCCTACCTAGTAGTGCTATTTTCAAATGCTACTTGTTGCTGAAAATGATTCAAACCCTGCGTTCTTACTAGACCAGTTTCTCCAAACCTCATCCGGTGCACCATTCTCTGCTTGTTGAGCACCACCATAGAAGTTTCCATGTGCACCCCCACCACCTCCACCACCACCACCACCACCTCCTATTCCCAGAAAGTCCAACGTCATTACATCTCCAGTTCCTTTACTTCCACCAACGTTAATAGAACCACTTGAAACTCCATTTGTTGGTCCTACACTGCTGCTTCTATTGTTTTGCTCTATGATCTTTGATAAAGCCTTGCTTTGGTCCAAAATAGCGTTGAACATGTCCACACCATTCATTCCAACGCTCCCTCCACCCATCCCATTTACACCGAAACCATTATACTGAGCGGAGATGTTGACATTGACATCATGTTGGCCACTGTGCATATATTGGTTCATGAAGGATTGTCCATTCGGTTGCTGTTGCAGCACGCCAAACGATGGCGGTGCCATGTTTGTGGCAAAAGTTTTATCTGTTACTGTTGCTCCCATTTGCGCAGCTTTTTGCAGCAGTGCCGTGGCTGACATGTGTGGCGACCCTGCAGCCAGGTGGAGCCCGTTTTCCTCGAAAATATTTGAACTTAGTTGGAGAGAGGGAGAAGAGGTTGATGAGAGGCTTCTCGTGAACACTGTTCCTGCCATGGTGGTGGTGTTGTTGAAGGGTTTTGGTGCAGGCATTGGCGTGAGCTCGTGTGGGAGTGATGGTGGGTGCTTGTGTTCAGCATGATTGAACTCCGAGGTGCCACCGATTTGTGGGTTGGGAACAATGTTGGTGTTGATTGGTAACGAGGAAACGAGATTTGGAATCTGTTGGCATTGCAAGTTTGGACCTATCTTTGGTATTTGTCCTTCGTTGGATTTGTTGTTCTCTTCAGCCAGTGCGTCACAGAAAGCTCTGTGTGTAATGAAACTGTCTCTTCTGCAAAGAAAAAAAAGAATATATCAGTAAGTAATTCATAATGCATGCGTTAAGGAAATTAAAAAGAGAAGAGTTTGACGAGCTGCATATAAATAATGGCAAGTAGATACATGCATAGCTGTTCATGAGGACCATGCATGGACATTATTATTATCAAATACAAGTTCCTTAGGCAAGGAATCTTTGAGAGTCAAATAAATTTAATATATATTTATATATTTATTGTGACTTATTCTTGTAGACCATATATAAGGGCTTAGGCTCTAGTAGTTCTTCTGCACATTTTCTTTATGCAAAATTGTATACAAAGGCTACTTGCTAATTATTGTTGATTATTAATCAAGGGCAGCGTGTATATGATAAAGAAAGGTTTACGAAAACTAGAGACAAATTTTCAAAATGGATAAAACCAACCTAACAAAGGTTTATGAATTCAAAGATAGAAAGGTAAGCAATTCATTGTTTAAGTCAACAAGGGTGTGTGTGGTCAAGGGATGACCCCATATAACATTTTATTTATAAAGTACAGCTTCTGCATGAAACTTGTGCACGGAAACCATGGTAAGTTATATTGCTTGGTCAATTTTCAAACATATATACACATAGTATAACATAACAATACCACATAAAATAAATATATATATATATATATATATATATATATATATATATATATATATATATATATATAATATGACGTAGACGCTTTAGACATTTTGTGAATGTATGAACCTGGAAAAGATGGTACCACAGTCACATTTGTATTCCCTTGTACCACAGATTTTTGAGTGGGCTTTCCAGTCAGACTGGACAGCGTATTTCTTTGAGCACTTATCACATTTCCACTTCTTCTCGCCGTGCTTTCTGCAGAAGTGCTTTTTAATGCCTGTGAGGTCCCCAAGTGCTCTTGCAGGGTTGTGGTGGACACACGAAGGTTCTGGACAAACATAAACCCTCTTTCGAACTTCTGTGCTTGTTCTCTGCTTAAGCTTCCACGGCAAGTTGTGGCCTCGCCGGTGCAACTGAAGGTTTTGATCTCTTTGAAACCCTTTGTTGCAGATTTCACATATGAACCGGTTTGTGGCCATCAGTGTGTTTGGTGATAAAGCTATAACTTCAGCACTTGGATCTGCACAAATTTAACGTGAGTGCCAAAATGGTAATCAAACTATCCAAGTATACATACATATACACTATCTCTTAGGAGTAGCTAGCTTCGCCAATAATTGTTAATGTGCAATTATATGTGCACTCAAAGCAAGATAATAATAATTATTACTTCAAGTTGTTTCAATGGATATTTAATTAGGAATGAAGAAAGTGACAAAAATCTAGGAAGTGCAGATGTAAAAATTGTAATAATAATGGTGAAGAAGAAGAAGAAGAAGAAGAAAAATGCGATATCTGATTCTTTGTTCACACGAAGATAAGAAGAATGAAAAGAGAAAGATAGAATATGTATATAATTTAAATTAAAGCAACAAAACTCCAAGACCTCTCTCTCCCTGTCTCTTCCACACCCTTTCATTCTTTTTTTTTTTATGCAAAACACATAAAGAACAATAGGTATTTCAGATATAAAAGCATGTATATATGGTCCTTTATCTTGAAACAGTTGTGAAACAAAAATCAAAGGAAACAGGAGGAGAACTAGTAGTCAAGCAAAGTCAACAGTGAACAGCAATGATTGTAAAGTCCTTCAAGTCAATAATTGAGTGAGCTTCTTCGCTTACTAATTACTCCCCAATAATTCATCATTTTGGTTATCAAATTCTGGCTTAAAACATACCCAGATCCTTGTCTCCGTTTGAAAGAAGGTGACTTTAAGGCCTTATCTTAATTTCATGAAGCTTATGTGTAACTATCTTAATTAAACGTGCTGTATTTACTTAAGCATGTCATCATCCAGAAAATTTAATGTACATCTTTTGTGGGATATCATTTTCTTAATTATTACTTTCATTTTAAAATCAACGAGACTGGTGAAGAAAATTATGTATACTTTTTTCCAATGAATGAATATATTTCCAGTTTGTTATACATATATAATCAGGGAATTAGCATGTGCAGACCATAGATAACAATATTCATCTATGGCTGCAGCTCTAATTTGAAAAACAAAAAATGAAAACCCAATAATTAGAAAATGTTACTTAAACAAGCAAAGCTCAAAAAGCAAGACAAAGAGGAAGAAAACAAAGAATCATGAATATACATGTAAATGGGTCTGAAAAAGAGCAAACTTTTTTTCTGAGATGGTGGTTAGAAAAGTTACCTGGATTTCCTGGTAGGCTCCTTTTCTTCTTAACAGGTACAGGTGGTTGTGAATTTGTGTTGGAACCATTGCTATTATTTGTTGTTGTAGTCGAAGTATGAGAATGTGGACTATGGAACTGACCAAGCATCTCAGATTGCTTAACTGCTGCATCTTCTCTGATATTCTCTGTAGAGAAGCTCCCACTATCACAACTTGTGATGTTTGACATTGAAGTTAGCCAAAGAAAAAGGGAAGAAGAATCTATTGAAAATATTCCCTTACTTAATTTACAAACTAGTGTTTGTTTGTTTCACTCAGCTTGTTTGCAGCAGCTCTCTAGCTAGCTGCAGTAAGATGAATTTTCTTCACCAAAACTAAAGGAAAAAAAAAAAAGAGAGAGAGGAAATTCAGACAGAAAAGATGGGATTTGTGCAACTAGAGGAAGACAAAAACCAGAAAACTCTCCTCCTTTTATGGTGTGAAGACGAGGGTGTTTGCTGCCACAACAATACAAGAAACCACGCTTCGGATTTGCATTGTAATAAAAAATATATATTATACTTCTTTTAGGCACTGTTGTTTGCCATATATATATATATATATGTATATGCCCCTACCCTTCCTTCATATTAATAAAAAGCCCCTCACTTTTTTTTGGGGGTAATTACTATTTACAACGTACTCATTTGTTGAATCATAAAAATTAATTGTTTTAGTATCGTTTTTGTTAGATTATTTTGTACTCTTTTCATATCGTCGAACAGGAGAAATAAACCTTTTAATATAAATTTTCTTTTAAAATAAATAGGTTTAACAGTAAGAACATAAAAAACAAAATAATACAGAACAGACATTTTCCTAAAATTATTTATCGCACAAAATGTATAGAAACTTGGTCTAGATCAACATGACTTCAACATCTTTCTTAAATCAGAAATTGTCTGGCCATAAATAAATATCCTCTGTAAGTACATGTACACTCCCATATTCAAATTTTACAGCACAATGCAAATAATGTATGTAATGATTATATAAAACCTTTCTTTTTATCATGATATCTGAACAAACAATTATGATGTATAATATTAGCGTATCATTGGTTAGAATGAGTTGTACTATAATATTTTAACTGTATATATTAGTTTTATGAAATTTTCAATGTTGATGATAATTTGTATAGATACTCCTACTGATAAAACTATTCATATTTTCTATTTATAAACTTTAAATAACCAAGTTTTATATTTTCGTTTAAGAATACTTTAATAAGAGGCATTATGGATTGTGTTTTATGATAATGAACAAACACCATCTTTATACTATATATAACCTAATGATAAATTATATATTTAATAAATTTGATCATATTTTCCAATAACCACATTAAAAGCTACATATTAACTATAAATTTTAATTGCTAATATATTTGTGTACTAATAACTATTTAAAAGTTATATTATATATAATTTTTTATTAGTTGATAATTATTTTTTTACATTATTAGTTCACAGAAGTTAAATAGAATATTTAATATGTTAATGGGTTTTTCTTTTTTAATTGTGAAAAGTGCATGAAAGTGTGATAATATGGTGAAGTAAACTTTATTCAGAATTGCCGTAAAAGGATTAAAACGCACATCACATAGTTCAATTTTTGTTTTGTTGAAATAGCTAATTGTTTTGTAAGTGGCATGGGAAAAAGAGAAAGAATAATTAAAAATATTGGTTGATAATAATAAAAAGGATTAAGAAGGGTAATTTGGGAAGTTGAGTGGTGGTAGTCTTTTAAAAGTTTAATTTATTTGAGAATACTAGAGGACAAGGGCTTTAAGTTTGTCATTTTCTGGGGATATTTTAATGGGAATAGTGTTGTTCCTGAAACACCCCTGTTCTTTAATGGAAACAACACAAGTGCCACTATGAGTAAGACTCAGCCGCCTAGAGCGTGTATTTACCGATTTAACCTTACCCCGTCACGGGTTGATTCTGATCGAATCATTCTCGAAAATGACCCCACAATAATACAAAAATTCTTCTGTTCACGTGTGTTCGGGGTAATTTCCGATGGGTCAGATTCCGGGCTAACTTTGAAATTAAAATTCAAATGTTGGTCCCTTTCGTAATTTCCTTACCTCCAACCATGGCTACCAGTGGCGTGTCCCAATTCGTCTTCCTTTCTTCTATTTTTAATTTTATATGATAATAATTGGTATAAAATTAAATTAAAACTAAACAAATAAAAATAATATTACTTTCTTTAAAATATTTTTTGTTCCGTAAATTTACAATTTTATATAATTTAAGAATTAAAATTAAAAATAATTTATATATATTATTTTTGCATGAAGAATAAAATTACGATTAATTAAAATTTTAAAATAAATAATATTTTAGATATAAAAATTAATCTTATTAATATTATTAAAAAAATATGAAATCAAATATTTTTTTAATTTTTAATATAAGAGGAGAATTTAAATTATAGTTAAAAAATATATTAAAATTTGTAACTTAATTTTTAATATTATCGATGATAAATAGGTTTTTAAAATCATATTCTCTTGTGCTAATAAGAATTTTATCATTCCACTCTTTAATTAAAAAAATTATTATTATTATTTTCAAAATTTTATATTGTGCGAATTTAATTTCCATCTCTTTTTTTTTCAAATTTGCATATTTCATCTTACTGAAATTGGTTTAGCAATAAATATATGCAAAATATATTTCACATAATCTATCATTTATTTAGCATCAGTTGCAATATTAATTGAAGGGAAAAGTCAAGATTCACAGGTGACAATACAAGATTCAAAACTCAGTCATCGTAAAGCAATCTCATATTGAATTTTTTAAGAACAGCAAATATAGTTTCATTTTTAATTATGCATGGAAAACATTTTTTAAAAAGTAAAGTTTATTGAAATAGTTTTTCATTTGAAAAAGATTAACTACAAATTAAAAAATGGTACCATTATTGTATAAAAAAAGCGTTAATCATAGTGACTTTTGATGATAGACGTTTTTTAAATTGGTCTTTCTTTTTGGGTTGGCAAATTGGAGCGTTTTTCTTTGAATATTTAATCATAAATAAATTGAGTATTGTCAAATTGTCACTGTCACAATTTTAAAAAGCAAGAAGGTAAAGAATATCTCGTTTTCACTTAACCTAAAAATAATAGTAAAATCAATAACAAATAATATTTCTTTAATAATTCTTACAAGCATGCTTGCATTGCATATATCCCATCGAAGGTACATGGAATATACTGTAAAAGCTAAAAAGAATTATATTAATTATTTTTTATATCATTATTCTGACACCAAAACAATCACTTAATGAGAGTGTATTAATTGATGTATATATCATCTTTAAGTAAGTAAATTAATTAATAAATAAATTATTATTGTTAATGATGGGACTTTGGAACTTAATAATAATAATAATAATATTATTATTATTATTAAGATGATGGATCACGTAGTAGGGGTTTTTGGTACATGATGAAAATATGGAAGCACTTATTGGCTCCTGCTTTTGTGTCTATCTTCAGTTCTGTGTTTGAAAATGACAAATTTGAAAATTTAATATAAATTATTGAGGAAATGCTTACAAAAGCGCTTTCGAATAACCAAAGAAAGTGACTATTCCATCTAACGTGCTGTCTTCCGTCCTTTACGTTCTTTTTTCATATGCAGTACAATTTCATCATTATATATTTACATGCTCATTTTTTTTAAATTAAGAAAAATACCCTTTTTTAATATTTTTTTTGTTAAATTGCATCATCCACTTAACAAGATTTTTTTTTCATTGCAATTATCATCATTTTTGTTGAACAAAATTACATCAATAACTTATGTTAATAAAATTAATTATAATATACGTTGACGTGGTTTATGTTCTTTACTATCACTAAAATTTAAATATAAGAGAACATATATTAAAAAACATAATAGAACCTTCTTTAGAAAAACAGTTAAACTTATACTAGTGTTGTTATTAATAGTTAAATGTCGATATATAATAATTCTTTAGTGTTTTTTTTAATTTAGTTATGTTTATAATTAAATATAAATTAGTGAAGTTATGTACACATTAGTTTATAATTTTTTTATCATACGACCAATAAAATATACAATGTTTTAAAAATTGATTTGCTTATGAAATATTGAATATATTACTATATGCTTCACAAGTTTTACTAGGCGATGATGAATTACTTATCGAATATTTGAAAACAGCAAATTTATGTAACTAGAATTAAATTGATGATGTGTTTGTGATAATAAAATAATCATGAAAAAAATGAATAAAACCTTAGATTAATACGAAATTAACAAATTCTGCGTATTATATAAAAAAAATAGAAGAAGTAAATATTCTCGATATTTTTTTCTAGATGCGCATTCGACACACTATATATACCTCACACTTAGCCCAAAAAATCATGTTTAAAAAAAACTACAGCATTCTTTTATATTTATCTTCTATAAATTGGTTATCTTTATTATAATTTATTTCTATAAATTTAATTTCAAAATTTTCAAAAATATTAAATATAAATAATTTATTATTATTATAACTTTGATTATAGTGTAATTTATATTTTGACCTAGGCCATACTAATAAAGACAAAGAAATTATCCCTCTTGAGTTTCAATGTGGGTACAATTGTAGAATTAAAAGTGGAGACTACTAAGTTAGAACAACTTTCATAAATATATGCAGGCATAATTGTGCCTTCTATTCCACCTTACTCCTACTAGCTAATAAATTTTCCTTTTTCCCAAAACTAGTAATATGCATTTGGTTTAATTAACTGTTCAAATACTTATGAATTAACCAAAAATATTATATTTACGTTTATAATTTTAAGTAAAACACAAGAATAACAGAATTAATTACATGAACTATATAATATATCCAAGTAAATATTTTCTTGAATAGCTTCAAGTTTTAATAGAATTTTAAACCTTCGAATTGGTTCAGTTTCACACTATTCAATGAAAAGCAAAATTTTAGGTGCAGATGTATTGACCTAGGCTAAATATAATGTTTGATTCGGCAATCTAAGCATTGATTTCTTAACTTCGAAACATTGTCTCAACAACCATGATTACACCCTTTTTTTCTCCTGCTACTATCAAATAATTGATATATGTATATAATTTAATCACACTTGTTCTACAATTCCCACGAGTGTCTCGATCTACTTTGTTAATTTAT